TACAGCCCGAGAGATGGTGACTTAACAACAAGAAGTACTTTTAAGTTTAACAGCGAATCATATTGTTAAAATGAGTCCACCATTTTCCTGAAGTGTCTTTTTTCCTGCTCCTGTCTTTCCCTGTCACAATCTCCGCCATATGAGCAACCTTCTCTCTCTCCTACTTTCTTCCACTTTCTCTATGCTGACGGAGCCCTTCGGGGTATATGGAAAGGACACTGTGAGCCCTGAATGTGTTATTTTAGCTCACCTTCCTGGCGGAGGTCTTTGTTCTGCTCTGGCCACGTTGTTATGCAGTGAACCGCAACGTACATTTCCAACAGAGTGTGCTAGGCTTGGGACTGATCTGGCATTTGTTCCCTTGTGTATTCACTGGCCTCGCACTTAAGTTCCCCTGGTTTTAAACAACCTGCCTAAGTGGCTCACTGGGCCTGGTAAATAATGGGTTAGTGTGCTTGGCCTGTGTACTCTATATTTTTCATCATATTGTGTACTTTATTTTTTATTAAGATTTGATTGATTGATTGATTGATTGGAGTTAGACAGAGAGTGCACATAGGGGAGGAGCAGAGGGAGAGGGACAAGCAGACCCAGCGCCGAGTGTGGAGCCCCACACAGAACTCAATCCCACAACCCTGAGATCATGACCTGAGCTAAAAATCAGACGTTGTACACTTACCCAACTGAGACACCCAGGTGCCCCGAAAGCATTGTGTACTTTAAATGTTGAATTTCAGAAGGGATCTGGAGAAACTAGAACGTAAAAATTTCAGAAGCAGAACATCAAATATGAGTTACAGGTTAGCATACAGATTCTGAGGTATATTGTCACTGCTTTCTCTTAGACGATGCTTTCTTGCTGTGTGCTCACAAGGTGGAAGGACCAAGAGTTATTTTTATGTCCATGGGGGCTCTACCGTCATGAGCTAATCACCTCTGGAAGGCCCCACCTCCAGATTTCACCACATTTCAGCGTATGAAACTAGGGCGGGGGGACACAAACATTCAGTCTGTGGCATGACACGTAGCTACTATTACAGTGTCATACAGAAGAATTTCTCCGCTCTAAAGTCCCCTATGCATCGTTCATTAATCTCTTCTTCCCCCCAACCCCTGACAACCACTGAGCATTTTTCTGTCCACAGTTTTGCATTTTCCAGAATATCATATAGTTAGAATCTGGCAATACTTCGCCTTTTCCGATTGACTATTTTTTTTTTTTTCATTCAGTAATCTGTGTTTAAGATTGTGCTGAGAATATTCTGGTTATAAAAAAGAACAATTAATACTGTTCATTTTTTACAGGATTGTATGACAAAGATATCACCTGTAATGATTAGCTGACTCCACGGGTGACACCCCAGAATAAATACATTTATTAAAATTTTAGGAACACTTTCTGAACTTCTCGAAGGGATTGTGCAGCAGAACGCGCTGAATTCAGAAGATAAATATGCCACATCTTCCCAGAGTGCTCATTTCATTTGAATACCTGGAGGAAGTTTTTTATATTAGAAAAAAGCACGGATATATTCTGTAGTAGAATAGAGAATTTTCATTAGATAAAACAAGAGACTTAAGAGAAATGCTGAGCGTGTGGAGAACTGCTTCTGGCTAAGAGCCTATTTAGACTCCCCTAGAGATGCAAGTTCGTGTTCCTCTTGCATCAGAAATACTTCAGTGGAAAATTTAAGAAGTGATTCAGAGGAATTCGGTTTAAAACAAGATACATTTTGCTGGTTAGAGAGTATCTTAGGTCGGGTTCCCAGGGAAGTGGACCCCGAGGCACAGATTCCTATGCAGAAAGCGGACTAGAAATCCTCCCAGCAGCAAGCCCCGTGAAGCAAAGGGAGTGGGACTGGGCAGAGGGACGGTAGGGGACGAGGCAGGTGCGGTAGGGGCCTCAGCCCATGTCACTGGGCTCTGGAACCGCACTGGCCCTTTCAGAGATGTCCCTCACTGAGGCACTGCTATAAACATTGGGGTACAGATGGCCCTTCTTTTCACTACATCTGTATCTTTGGGGTAAATACCCAGTAGTGCAATTGCAGGGTCATAGGGAAGCTCTATTTTTAATTTCTTAAGGAATCTCCACACTGTTTTCCCAAGTGGCTGCACCAACTTGCATTCCCACCAACAGTGTAAGAGGGTTCCCCTTTCTCCACATACTCTCCAACACTTGTTGTTTCCTGTCTTGCTAATTTTGGCCCTTCTGCCTGATGTAAGGTGATATCTCAATGTGATTTTGATTTGAATCTCCCTGATGGCCAATGATGATGAATATTTTTTCATGTGTCTGTTACCCATTTGTATGTCTTTTTTGGAGAAGTGTCTGTTCATGTCTTCTGCCTATTTTTTGACATGATTGTCTGTTTTGTGTGTGTTGAGTTTGAGGAGTTCTTTATAGATCTTGGATATCAGCCCTTTGTCTGTAGTGTCATTTGTGAATATCTTCTTCCATTCTGTGGGTTGCCTCTCTGTTTTGTTGACTGTTTCCTTTGCTGTGCAGAAGCTTTTGATCTTGATGAAGTCCCAAAAATAAATTTTCGCTTTTGTTTTCTTTGCCTTTGGAGACATATCTTGAAAGAAGTGGCCAATGTCGAAGAGGTTACTGCCTATGTTCTCCTGTAGGATTTTGATAGATTCCTGCCTCACGTTGAGGTCCTGTATCCATTTCAAGTTTATCTTTGTGTATGGTGTAAGAGAATGGTCAGGTTTCATTCTTCTACACATAGCTGTCCAATTTTCCCAGCACCACTTATTGAAGAGACTGTCTTTTTTCCCATGTATTTTTTTCCCTGCTTTGTCAAAGATTATTTGACCATAGAGTTGAGGGTCCGTATCTGGGCTCTCTACTCTGTTCCACTGGTCTATGTGTCTGTTTTTGTGCTGGTACCATGCTGTCTTAGTGATCACAGCTTTGTAGTAATGCTTGAATTCAGGCAACATGATGCCCCCAGTTTTGTTTTTCTTTTTCAACATTTCCTTAGCAATGCAGGGGTCTCTTCTGTTTCTATACAAATTATAGGATTATTTGTTCCAGTTCTTTGAAAAATGTCAGTGGAATTTTGATTGGGATGGCATTGAAAGTATAGATGGCTCTAGGCAGTATAGACATTTTAGCAATGTGTATTCTTTTGATCCATGAGCATGGAATGGTCTTCCATCTTTTTGTGTCTTCTTCAATTTCTTTTATAAGTGTTGTGTAGTTTCTCGAGGACAGATTCTTTACCTCTTTGGTTAGGTTTATTCCCAGGTATCTTATGGTTCTTGGTACTCTAGTAGATGGAATTTCCCTTTCTATATTTTCATTGTTAGTGTATAAGCAACTGATTTCTGTACATTGATTTTGTATCCTGCCATATTACTGAATTGCTGTATGAGTTCTAGTAGTTTAGGTGTGGAGTCTTTTGGGTTTTCCATATAAATTATCATGTCATCTGCAAAGAGAGAAAGTTTAACTTCTTCCTGGCCAGTTTGAATACCTTTTATTTCTTTTTGTTGTCTAATTGTTATTGCTAGGACTTCTAGTACTATGTTGAACAACAGTGGCAAGAGTGGCCATCCTTGTCATGTTCCTGATCCCACGTATATGTGGGAGCATATAACTCTCTATGCTGCTCTGACCTGTCAGTCGCTAAATAAGAACAAGGTAGCAGAGTCTCCAGTTCAATATGCTGGTTTCCATGGAAGGTTCCCTCAAATATATGGCTTTCCCCACAGAGTTTGAGTCTAAATATATCCTAGATATATTACCTCTAGTGAGCGAATCAGGGGGAAGAGGAAGTGTCAGATTCTGGTTTTTTTTTTTTGTCTTAATAAGTCACATCACCATCTTAATGCATAAAACAAATTATTCTTAAATAATTATATAATTAATTACCATTCTTACATAATCTCACAATATTACATATATGTAATCTACATCTTATATATAATTATGTAATTTTTATATCCTATATCTTCTATATAAGATATAATATATAATTTTACATATAATTTAAATAATTTATGAGTAAAAGTTGTTTTAAGATGTAAAGAACACAAAACTATTCCTGAACTGGTCCCCACTATTATGTATTTTTTTCTCTCTTGATATACTGATGAGTCACCCATCAACTACTCTCAGACAGTATGAAGTGTAAGGACCATTCTACTATAATGTTCCAGCAAATTAGTGCACTTATGTATACTCTCATGTATTTCTGACCTCTGGAAATTGCAACAAGTCAACAGTCTTTTTTCATGCTTTAGGTTTGACTGAGAGCTGATTTCTGCAGAATAGTTTCATGTGCTAATAATTTATTAAACTAGTATTATGCCTTTGGGCCCTTAAAATTTATGGGCTTCCAGGTCCTCATTTGTAAAAGAAGTCGATTTGGGTTTGAACCACATTATCTTCAGGATGCCTGCTAGTGCAGGGTTTTGCCATCCAGTATGACTTTGTTGGCCCTTTACATATGGTAGCATGTGACCTTTGAGCTGTCATCAAGACCCAGAGGCAGAGAGGAGTGTGATAGAGCCATGGCGGAGGTTTGCTTCTGTGACCCTGTCCTAACCAGGGTCTCAGGAGCCAAATCTCCCAAGTGGAACCACAGAATGTTTATTAATTTCCTACTGGTAGAATGACAGTTCCCTTCACAAAATTTGAAAATTGTGAATGCAGCTTTCCAAAATGCTTACCTTACTGCATAAAATATCTTTACTCTCGAGGAAAATCTTATTTAGTGGTAAAATTTAAGACTGATGAACCAAAATTTTTTCTTTAATTTGGAAGTGTCCTTTTTTTTAAGAATATCGTTTCTGAGGTTAAGAAGAGACATCTTCTCTAATAGCACTTGGATGTTTTGTAGAGCTCCTGTCATTCCTAATTGAAGATTAATTTACTTAAATTACCATAATTTTTCATTTTTACCCAGTAATAAATGTATCCTATAATGTTTCAACAATGGACAGAGCAATAATTCTCCTAATACGGAAATGGCTTGCTTTCTGTTTAGGTCCTGTGGCACCCCGGCCATCACCCTGTGAAGCCAATCAATTTTCTTGTATCTACACACTCCAGTGTGTCCCTCTCTCGGGGAAATGTAATGGTCAGGAAGATTGCATAGATGGCTCTGATGAAATGGATTGTTCTCTCAGCCCCACTCCTCAGCGCTGTGGTAAAATGGAGTTCCAGTGCTCGAGCGACGAGTGTATCCCATCCCTCCTGCTATGCGATGGAGTGCCCGACTGTCACTTTAATGAAGATGAATCCAGCTGCTGTGAGTTATTTTCACTAACTCGGTGTGCCAGGGAAGAAATGCAGTTTGGAAATTATAAAGAGAGCTTGACGGGTGAAACAAAGTTCTCTAGAGTCTTACTGTGATTTTCTCATCAGTAATATAGTTGCTTGTATTATGTTGCTAAACAAAGCATGTAGGCCTTTCTTAGCGTTTTTTAAATTAACTTATAATGTATTATTTGTTCCAGGGGTATAGGTCTGTGATTCATTCAGTCTTACATAGCACCCAGCACTCACCACAACACATACCCTCCCCAATGTCCATCACCCAGTCACTCCATCCCCCCAAAACCCCCTTCCCTCCAGCAACCCTTGGTTTGTTTCCTGAGATTAAGAGTCTTCTATGGTTTGTCTCCCTCTGTTGTTCATCTTAGTTCATTTTTTCCTCTCTTCCCCTATGACCTTCTGTCTGTTTCTCAGATTCCTCAGATCAGTGAGATCATGTGATAATTGCCTTTCTCTGATTGACTTATTTGACTTAGCATAATACCCTCTGGTTCCATCCATGTTGTTGCAAATAGCAAGAGTTCATTTTTGATGGCTGCATACTATTTCATCATATAGATATATATCTCTATATAGAGAGAGATATATAGAGATATATATATATCTATATCACATCTTCTTTATCCATTCAACTGTCAGTGGGCATCTGGACTCTTTCCAGATTTTAGCTATTGTGGACATTGCTGCTATAAACATTCAGGTACACGTGCCCCTTTGGATCACTACATTTGTATCTTTGGGGTAAATACCCAGTAGTGCAATTACTGGGTCATAGGGTAGCTCTATTTTCAACTTTTTGAGGAGCCTCCATTCTGTTTTCCAGAGTAGCTGCACCAGCATGCATTCCCACCAACAGTGTAGGAGGGTTCCCCTTTCTCCGCATCCTCGCCAGCATCTGTCATTTCCTGACTTGTTAATTTTAGCCATTCTGACTGGTGTGAGGTGGTATCTCACTGTGGTTTTGATTTGTATTTCCCTGATGCCAAGTGATGTCCATAGTAGCCAGTCAATATGGCTGTTGTCCACAATAGCTAAACTATGGAAAGGGCCCAGATGTCCATCAACAGATGAATTGATGAATAATGCCATATAAGCACTATTTCATGTGTCTGTTGGCCATTTGGATGTCTTCTCTGCAGAAATGTCTGTTATGTCTTCTGCCCATTTCTTGATTGGAGTATTTGCTCTTTGGGTGTTGAGTTTAAGTTCTTTATAGATTTTTGATTTTTTGGATACTAGCCTTTTATCTGATATGTCATTTGCAAATATCTTCTCCCATTCTGTCAGTTGTCTTTTGGTTTTACTATTTCCTTTGCTGTGTTTACTTAGCATTTCTGGAAACATTCTGTTTGTAGTCACACTAATCTCTGTTAAACTTACCTGATTTCCTTTTTTATTTATATCTGAGCCATTCATGTGGAGAATGCGCCTATGTGTTTTTTATCTTTTTTGTTGTTGCTATTACCGTGTGCCACCATGCAAAATTGTTACAGTATTATGGACTACATTTCTTATGCTGTACTTTTCATCCCCATGACTTATTTATTTTATAACTGGAAGTTTGTACCTCTTAATCCCCTTGAATGATTTTGTTCACCCCACAACCCCTTTCCCCTCTGGCAGCCACCAGTTTGTTCTCTTTGTTTGTGATTCTGTTTCAGTTTTTGCTTGTTTTTAAGATTACCCATAGGAGTGAAAACATATGGTACATGTCCTTCTTTATCTGACTTAACTCACTTAGCATAATACCCTCTCCATCCATTTATACTGTCACAAGTGGTAGGATTTCATTCTCTTTTTTTGGCTATATAATATTCCATTGTGTGTGTATGTATTTGAATGTGTGTGTGTTTTTGTGTGTGTGTGTATCACATCTTTATCCATTCATATATTGATGGATGCTTGATTTCCATATCTTGGATATTATAAATAAGGCAATAAACATAGGAGGGCATATATCTTTTTGAATTAGTGTTTTGTTTTCTTTGTACAAATACTCAGATGTGGAATTTCTAGATCATCTGGGTAGTTCTGTTTTTAATTTTTTTTGAGGAACTGCTGTAGTATTTCTTGTTTTTATTGTTTATTTTTGTTTTGTTTTTATCATGGCTGCACCATTTTACATTCTTACCAATAGTACACAAGTGTTCCTTTTTCTCTACATGCTAAACAACACTTGTCACTTCCTGTCTTTGACATTGGCCATTCTTACAAGTGTGAGGTGATACCTCTTTGTAGTTTTGATTTGTATTTCCCTGATGATGAATGATGAGCAAATTTTCATGTTTCTGTTGGCCATCTGGATGTCTTCTTTGAAAAAAAATGTCTCTTCAGGTCCTCTGCCCATTTTTTTTTAAGATTTTATTTATTTATTTGACAGAGATCACAAGTAGGCAGAGAGGCAGGCAGAGAGAGAGGGGGAAGCAGGCTCCCTGATGAGCAGAGAGCCTAATGCGGGGCTCGATCCCAGGACCCTGGGATCGTGACCTAAGCCGAAGACAGAGGCTTTAACCCACTGAGCCACTCAGGTGCCCCTCTCTGCCCATTTTTAATTAGATTACGTGTGTGTGGATGAGTGTGTGTGCAGTTATTTGTTTTGGATAATAAGCTCTTATCAGGTACATCATTTGCAAATATCTTTTCCCATGTAGTAGGGTTTTGTAGTTGTTTTTGTTTGGTTTTGGGTTTTTTTGCTGATGGTAGCTTTGTGTAAAAGCTTTTTAGTTTCATGTACTCCAAATAGATAATTTTCACTTTTGTTTCCCTTGCCTGGGGAGACAAATCCAGAAAAATAAGGCCAATGTCCAAAAGTTTACTGCCTATGTTTTCTTTTAATTGTATGGTTTTAGATCTTACATTTAGGTCCTTAATCCATTTTGATTTTATGTGTGTATATGGCATAAATGCTCTGGACTTACCCCTTTGCATGTAGCCATCCAGTTTTTCAGCACCATTAATCGAAGAGACTGTCTTTTCCCCAGTGTGTACTCTTGTCTCCCTGGTCATGAATTAGTCGCCTTATGTGCATGCTTATTTCTGAGCTCTATTCTATTCCGTTGATCTGTGTGCATGATTTCTGTTAGTGCTATACTACTTTGACTACTATAGCTTTGTATTATAGTTTGAAATTTGGGATTGTGATGCTTCCAGCTTTGTTCTTTCTCACGATTTTGGCTATTTGGAGTCTTTTGTAGTTCCTACAAATTTTAGGATTATTTGTTCTAGTTTTGTGGAAGATACAATGGGTATTTTGATGGGGATTGCATTGAATCTGTAGATTGCTTCAAATATTTTGGACCTTTTAGCAGTATTAATTCTTCCAACCCATGAGCATGATACATCTTTCCATTTGTGTTGTTTTCAGTTTCTTTCATCAACATCTTACAGTTTTCAGCATACAGATTTTACATCATTACAGTTTTCAGCATACAGATTTTTCACCTCCTTGGTTAAATTAATTTTTAGATATTTTTTGATGTAGTTGTATATGGGACTTGTTACCATTTTAACAAATGTTTTTGGAAATGGATCGAGGACACGTAGGTAAACTTTCTTCCCAATGTAAGTATTTATGAAGCTGGCTCAAGGAAAGGGCTATAGGCAAATATTCATTTTAATGAATATATGTAGGTAGAGGTTGGACCTAGACCAACTACCTGGGTAGATATGTCAATAAGAGTTCATGGAATAGTAAATCCTAAGGACATGGGTTTGAATATCCTCCTTATCACTTACTACATGTTCAGGCTTGGGAAAGTTATTAGAACCAGCCTTAGCATCCACATAATATTGCCTTTTAGAGCTATGAGGATTTGAGAGAATATATGGACAATCCTTAGCCTGGCATTCAGCACCTTCTACTTTCATTATAACTAACCTATTCATTTAAGGAAGGGAGAGTGTTGGTTAAGAAGTTATGGTTAATTACACCCATCATTAAGGTGAGCACAAAAGCATAGTGAGTCAAAGCACCACTATCATCTCATTTAATTATTTGTATTCTTGGTGTTATATTATACTGTATTCTATATTTGGCATAGGTTGCAGTGATAGGGCTACACAAACTACCTGTTAATGACCACTTTTCTTTTTTAAGTAGTAAAAAAGTTTTTAAGTAGTAAAAAACATCTTGGAATGTAAGAGGGGACACTGAAAGAAATACAAGGCTATTTCAGTGTCTCATTTAGAGTGGGTATCAGGAATTATAACTATCAGAAAAGGAGTACAGATGAATGCAAGAAAGGGGAGACAGCATTTGGATGTTTAAAGGTTTCAGTCATAAAGAAGTGAACTTCGTTTCCTAGTTTAGGCTTAGAGATTGGTTTTCCGTTTCCATGTTATTTCCTATATGTATATTCTTTCTGTAATAAAGCCAGCTTGTCAAATCCTATAACATTTTCTTAGAGGAAGGTAAACAAATGGAAGTGAATAAAGAAGAGAAAGCCTGCCAAATAATTTATCCCTATTCCCATCAGGGCTCTAATATAATTTGGTTGAAAGAAATCTTAGTAAGTTCAATAGAGTCATATGATACTTGATTTCAAATACGAATGCTATTTAAATAGAAGCTTAGGAAAGTACAGTATCCTTATACTTTGAGACACTCTCTGGAAACTTGGTGTTTGATGATGGAGTCACATATGAAATTCTGCTCCTGAAGGGAAATAAGCCCATGCTAGGAATAGACTGGTATCATGAGAGTATCGCTTCTATCCATCTCTGATATATTTGATTAAGTTGTGAGTCTCTAAGGAGAACTGTATGAAAATAAACTAGGGGAAAAAGTGCTAGGCAAATTTAGAGGATAAAAATACCTAATGATGACAGTTTACCAAAATTAAAGACATACTAGTTTTTTTGTTTGTTTTGCTGGGTTTACCTATTGATTTAGAATGGTAATTTTTTTAAAAATTCAGTCATTTCTTCATTCACAAACTCTCATTAAGAATGTAATCTATGCCATATATTATATGG